TGTCAGCTGGGATAGGCTCCAGCCCCCCCACGACCCTCAAGAGGATGAAGCGGTTAGAAGATGAATGAGTGAATGAAATAAAAATATCCTTCATCCAGGCACAACCAACATCTTAACATTTATCTTATTGGATGGCCATTAGGCATCTAGACATATGAAATCAATTTGAACCTAATAATTACAATAACCTCACTATAGCCAGTATTTACCAAAGCTAGTCTTAGATAAAAAAACTTATCAAACTAACAGAACTAACGGAAGTAGCTCAGTCCATAGGGACTTGGGTTGGGAACCGGAGGGTCGCCTGTTTGAGTGCCCGTCCGGACCAAATATGGAGCGTGGACTGGTGGCTGGAGAGGTGCCAGTTCACCTCCTGGGCACTGCCGAGGTGCCCTTGAGCAAGGCACCACACCCCCCAACCGCTTGGGGTGTCTGACCAAGGAAGTCCCCTCACTCTGACATCTGTCCACTTTGTGCATGTATGTGTCTTTTGGACCTGTGTGTTAATGACAAAAAGAGTGAAAAAATTGAATTTCCCCTCAGGGGGATTAATAAAGTATATATATATATATATATTAAAAAAAACAGGTATAGGCTATTTTTTTGTTTTGTTTTGGGGATTTTTGTTAGCAATTTAACAGATTTCTCTTCACTCCTTTGAGATGCTGAAAGCTGCAGGAGTGAAAAGTTAATAAAAGCTTTGTAAAAATCGCTGTGATTGTGATCGCTGAGCAGGGCTTTACGTAGGGGTCTGGCACACGCAGGGCATTTGTCCTCAGTATGTGACATACAGCAGGCACTCATCTCTCACTGTGCTTGTGTGATTGAAGAAACATTCGCATTCACAGGCTCACACTCTATGCTCACACTGCTATATTTACTTTTGTAAAGTATCAGTGGCGACTGCTGGTCTTTCAAGGAGGGGAAGCTCATTTTCGGTCTACATCATAAAATGTGTCCATTTATTTATACGTAAATTCTAGCCTCTGGGGCTGCTGCGCGAAGCTAGTGTGACCACCTGTGAGTGCTTTGGGATGGTGGAGCGGCTCACAGCAGCACCCGCTGCTCGTTGGGGACAGTAACTGCAGAGCGACAGAAGTCAGAGTCTCCAAACATGAGTACAGTCTCCAATAACACCAGAAGAAGATGCTAGATTTGTCGCTAATCGTTTTTAACAAAGAAAAAGTCACTATGAGGATTGGAAAAGTCTCCAGATCAACTCGGAACAATGGAATAAAACTTGAAAAATGCTCCGGTGGTGGTGGTATATTTCAAGATCGCTGATTCGCTCATTTCGCTGTCAATCAAAACGGGATTCAGCCTCAGACAGATCATCCAATCATGATGCAGAAGCCCAGCGTCCAGGCCAGCCGAGGCCAGCCCACTGCCCCATAGACCCCCAGAGACACTGAGCGTCCGATGGGCGGGACAAAACCGAGCATTTATCCAATTACTGTCTAGTTTCGCTGCAGTGGAACAACTATACTTCCCCATTGAATTCTTTGGACGCTGAGCTTCGACACTGTTTAATGCACTGTGACGCTACGGGAATGAATGAGAAGAAAGTCGCGTCAGTGACCTGCGATAAGTAGCTGATTCTGAACAAAGTTGAATGCGTTCTAGCGCATATTTACATTTCAGTGAAATGTAAACACAACAGTACATATTTGACCACTTATTTTTTGACATTTTAGGGGAAGCTGAGCTTCCCTTGCATTCTTAGAGAAATCGCCACTGTTAAGTATATATTAAGTATCTCACGACACAAGACGCTATGACGAGTTTAACTGAGCTTCACTTTACTGCTGCATTCTGCCTCACTGAGACTGAGAAACCTGACGCCGATGCATCTTGGCTCATTTGCATACTAAACAGTGATTGGATGTTTACTGGGGAGGGGGTCTCTGCTGACTGCAGACAGTAGATCACACACAGCCAGCACACAACACGGAGTGGAGTGGAGATAGATGAGAAAACATGTCTGTTTTGTGCCTTTTTCAGTGGAGTTGATTTGAGGGGGCAAGACATTTGTTTAAGGGGGCATTGGCCCCTCTTGCCCCTGCGTAGACCCGGTCTCGTATCCATCACATATCCAGCCACAAGCTTCATTAATTCTTTGTTGCTTGTGTCCGGCTTTCCATGGTTTGGTGATTTGATTTTCTTTTTTAAGCCAGTGATGGCTACAGTTTTCCTTTACTAAGTGAGGAGGGTTTACCTTTGGTGGGATGTATCTCCATGATCTTCACATTGTCGTGCTGTCAGTCATAGTAGGTTTTTCAGAAGTTTGAGGTTGTGTCTTCTGCAATGCACTGCCTTTAAAAAACAACGTTCTTGTCTTTTTTCATCCCCCCAAAAAAATCTAAGTAATTGTAATATTTCCAGCTGCTAAGAGAGATTTCACAGAGATCATCCACTTTATTACCCAACACCTGTGTGTTGGCAAACAGGATGCTTGGCAGAGAACATTTATTTGTTTGGGATCTTAGCTGGTGTTTGATCCCTCCAAGCTCGCTTCAGTGCCTCTTCCAATGCTGAGATGGATACAGAGATGGTCTTGCTTGGCCATGCAGTCAGGATTGTAGCATTCTTATGAATTATTTTACAAATTGTAGCATATGAATTCTTGATTTATGGCCAAACCATATTTTGTGAAGTCACACTGACCTTGACCTTTGACCGTCAACAACAAAATTCAAATCAATTCATTCTTCAGTTTTTTTTTTTTTTTTTTTTTTTTTTTTTTTAGTTTCAAAAGAAATTTCCCTCAGGTGTTCTTGAGATATCATGTTCCTGAGAATGAGATAAATCACAAGATCACAGTGAGCTTGATCTTTGGCCACCAAAATCTTATTATTTCATTGTTTAGTCCAAGTGAATGTTTGTGCCAAATTTGGAGAAATTCCCTCAAGGTGTTCTTGAATAAATGTGTTCACAAGAATGAGATAGACAAGGTCACATTGTTCTTGACCTTTGACCTATGACCACCAAAAACTAATCAGCTCATCACGAAACCAAGCGGACATTTGTGCCAAATGTGAAGAAATTCCCTTGAGGCACTCTTGAAATATTGTGTTCACGAGGATGGGACAGATGGATGGACGAAAGGATGGACGCACAGACTAGAGGAGAGGCAAAAGCAAGACAACCGTCAAAACGGAAATAGTTTTGCATGTGTTGGCCACAGACAGTTGCTGTCCTTATCCTGACTGATTCTTCTCTAGTTTTGGGTTCTGCTGGTGTCCTTGTCCTTGTACTCGTCACATAAGGCAGTACCTGCAGCCCAATTAGGTTGCACAGGTTGTCCAGCTCCTCCAGGATGGCACATCCATACATATGGTTGCAAGAAGGTTTGCAGTGTCTCACAGCACAGTCTCAAGAGCATGGAGAAGATACCAGAAGACCAGCCGTTATGAGAGGAGCTGGAAAGGGCCATAGAAGGGCACCAGCCCAGCAGCAGGACTGGTATCTGCTCCTTTGTGTGAGGAGGAACAGGAGGAGCACTGCCAGTGACCTCCAGCAGGCTACTGGTGTACATGTTTCTGACCAAACTGTCAGAAACAGACTCCATGAGGGTGGCATGAGGGCCCGACGTCCTCTAGTGGGACCTGTGCTCACAGCTCACTGTGCAGCTCAAATGGCATTCGCCATAGAACACTAGAAGTGGCAGGTCCGCTATTGATACCCCGTTCTTTACAGATGAGAGCAAGTTCAGACTGAGCTCATGTGACAGACGTGAGCCTGGAGACGCCGTGATAAACATGATGCTGCCTGTAACATCATCCAGCATGACCAGTTTGGCGGTGGGTCAGTGATGATCTGGTGAGGCATATCCTTGGAGGATCGTACAGACCTCCATGTCACTGACAGTGGTACCCTTACTGCTGTTAAGTACCGGGATGAGATCCTTAGAGCGTTTGTCAGACCTTACGCTGGTGCAGTGGACCCTGGGTACCTCCTGGTACAGGCCTCATGTGGCCAGAGTGTGGAGGCAGTTTTTGGATGACGAAGGTATTGATGCCATTTACTAGCCCTCTCGTTCCCCTGACCTCCAATTGAGCACCTATGGGATGTTAAGTATTTGTGCATCCAACACCGCCAAGTACCACCACAGACTGTCCAGGAGCTCACTGATGACCTGATCCAGTTCTGGGGGAAGAGCCCCCAGGACACTATCCTCAGACTCATCAGGAGCATGCCTAAATGTTGTTGGGAGGTCATACAGGCACGCGGAGGCCATATACACTACTGAGTCACATTATTAATTGCTGTGATAAAATTCACACAAGTGGAGGATTTTCCGAAGAGCAATTAAAGATGCAAAAGAAATTACATTCCTTTGTTTAGCAGTCATTCTAACACCCTCCCCAGGGATACCACAGATGGCAAGCTGTATTTTATGACTATGATTTTGAGATATATTCACCAGTGTTGAAGCACTGACATTTGCTGATAGCTACGTACTGCCTCTCATTCCATGGAGTTTGACACATAATGAATCAATCTGAAGAAAGAGACATCATGTCCCCCCCACTGAATAATAATGAGCAACTTTGGGTCAAATAAATATCAGTTTCCATCGCATTATTTGTGCTATCCCGAATAACAGATTCAGATTTTGGTACAGTTCCATAATGGGTGAAATGGATGAAAATCTGTTTGACAAAGTTAAAAAGCTTTTCCTGTATCGTCATGTTTACCCCCACAATTGAAGTTTTAAATTAATTCTCTTTATTTAATTTCTCCCAATTATTTCTCCTTCTTCTGTCTCTTATTGTGAGCAAAATTATTCAGTAATATTGTTTTATTCTCTGCATTAGCACCTTTAGGTAAACTCATCCGTAAAAGTAGCCTATTGATGAAGATTTGTATTTGTGTTAAGAAGAGAGGAGAGTCAATAACAGTGCTGTGCTACTTCCCTATAGGCAGGCGTAGAGGAACTTGGAATAGGACGCAAGAGCAGTGCAGATAAAGGAACACACATAGGATGGCAGAGCAGAGAGAGAGGAGGGGAGAGAGAGAGAGGACATACAGTCAGGCTCCAGCCAGAACAGCGTCTCAGTGACTAACCACTGACTCCCTGTTATGCAGCAGAGCTGATGATTCAACACACTAGAGGTAAGAAGAAATATGCAATGGGTCTGTCTGTCTCTTAATGTTCTCTGCAGTTGCAATCATGGGGTACAGCATGTGTGTGTGTGTGTGTGTGTGTGTGTGTTGGGGTTTGTGTGTGTGTGTGTGTGTGTGTATGTAGCCTATGTGCTTCCATATGAGAGAGAGAGAAAGAGAGCAATACAGAGAGAGTACTTCATCTTATTACATCAAACTGAAGGACGATGCCTCTGGTTTTGGGGCTGTCCTGTCCTTGTGTGCATGTATGAGCCTGTTTAGTACCTGTGCGTGTGGAATACATTACATTTACAGGACTTGTTACAGTTTTCCTGCTATCAGATAGAGAACAATGTCTGTGTGTGTGACCACAACAGCCTCAGCAAGCTGTGTCATCGCATCTTGACTGTGTAGTCTAACGCCGCAGTCAATATAATATTCATTAATGGTCATTGTACAACACAAGGTTGCACACAAAATGCAGTTGTAGTTATTTTGTGTAATACAAGAAAACAAACCAAAAACAATAGTGCATTCCTATTTACATTAGGGGTAATGTAAACAGCAACAATGAAAACACAGGTGAATAATCTGGGCAGACAACATAGGGCGCATCTTGACATCCACATCAGGGAAACATTGTCCATCAATTTTGACTCAGCATTGATACATACATAGAGTCCGCCTCATCCTCATGCAGAGAATGATACACAACTGTATTTATTGATGAAACCCGACGAAACTTATCAATTAACTAAACTTCATAATTGCCTTAAAGACATAAAAACCTGGATGAGCACCAATTTCCTGATGTTAAATTCAGACAAAACTGAAGTTATTGTTCTTTGCCCCAAACAACTCTGATGACATAGTTTCTCTAGATGGCATTGCTCTGGCTTCTAGCACTACCGTAGGAAACCTCGGAGTAATATTTGATCAAGATTTGTCTTTTAATTCTCATTTAAAACAAACCTCACGGACTGCATTTTTTCATCTGCGTAATATTGCTAAAATTAGGCCTATCCCGGCCTCGAAAAGATGCAGAAAAATTGATCCACAGCAGCTAAGCTGCCATGGCACTATTGTAATCCTAGGTATTCTTCTTCTTCTTCTTTCTTCTTCCAAGGAAATCATACTTCCCATGGGTGAAAACTCACCAAACTTTGTACAAAGGTCCAGTCTCATGCCAGATATCCTCAGCTGTAAACTCAAGCCGATAGTCCTGATGGTGGCGCTACAGCAAGCGTCTAAAGTTCAAAACTTTGAAAATTCATAACAAATCAACCATACGTGCTACAACTTCACAACTTTAATCAAACTGTAGCCCCAGTACTGAAGAATATGTATATTCTGTATATTGTATATTTAAACCTATTAAAAATTATGAAGTTCATCACTCTGTTTTTTTCAAAAACTGTAAAACTTATTAAACCTATCTCCTCCCACAATTTTTGCTCAATTGACACCAAACTTGCTACAGAGCATCTTCAGACTGTCCTACAAAAACTACGTTTCTCAGATTTTTGATTTATCAAAAAATTGAGCCTACAGTGCAGTAAACTGACTGTAAACGGTACTGTAAACATATACATGCAAATTCTTGCTAAATAAATCTTAAATGTTCATGAAAAAAATGACAAAATTCTAGAGTCATGGTAGATGATGTGTGGCAAATGTCAGAATTTTATCTCAAAAACTGAATTTTTGACAGCATTTTGAATTTTGCTCTAATGTGAACAATTGGAGTCAATGTAAAAATGGCAATTTTAAACATCAGTTTTTCACTTATGGAGCAAATCAATCATTGTTACAAACAAACTACCAACATCTCCATGCTGTCTAGATGCAATTTGTGTATTTTCAGATTTTTGTTTCGATAACTGAATTTTTTACAGTGGTTTGAAATCTGCTTTTCCATGCATGGACGGCTGCTAAACCTGCACGTCTGGCTTAGTCAATTTGTGAAGCTACACATGAATTGTCACTGACTAATTAGCTCAGTGAGATAGAAATTGATCCTTACGCCAGGGCCACACTGCCTGCGAAGCGCAGCGCACCGAAATTTTCGCATGAGCTGGAGCACCTCCGTTCACATCAGATGCACGTTTCTCTGCGCCTGTCGACAAGCGATTCTGCTCCCAGCTGTTGTTTTTCCATCATGGGTAACTGCCCAGCTTGACACATTCACTCGCGGCTCGCGCAGAAAATAGACCAGATGCTGAAATGATCACAATCGGTTAACATGGGCGCTGAAAGGAAACTGGCTTCACATCTCAGCGCTTCGAGGCTATTCGCGGCGCTTCCGCGGGCGGTGTGGCCCTGGCGTTATTCTCAGAGGTTGTGAGTTCAAGCCTCAGCTGATGCAAAAGGCAGATTGTGTTGCTAAATTCCTAAATGTCTTCCAATTCTTCTGTTTGTTGCTCAGAATTGCCTAAAAATACCCGGACCCAACCCATCGCTGCGCAGCAGCTATAATTTTATGTTTTCATTTTATTTTTTGTTTATTTTATTTTTCAGTTTTCCTCCCGGAGGGATTGCCACCTTATTGTGGTCAGGGGGTTTGCGTGCCTCAGTGACCCCAAGAGCTATACCAGCAGGAGCTTAGTCTTCAGGTGGGACACCCAAGTTGGACAGGTCTTAGGGTAGAGGCCTGACAAAGTGCAATCCATTTCTTTAGGTTGGGGGTTGGACACACAGCTAACAACAACCCAATTCCATGTAGAAAACACTGTTATCAATAACAACAAAACAAGCGGCAAGCACATTTGAGACCACCGTGCTTTGACACCCTCTATAGGGCACTCACACAGCATCCCCACATCCTGCGAGTGAGTGAGTGAGTGAGTGAGTGAGCTTTATTTGTCAGCTCTACCTATGGCAAAAATATGCTGGAGCATGATGCCCCCTTCACATTTATGACTGCCCCCTCATATATGCCTGCCTAGAACCGGGCTTGGTCTCCAGAAGACTTGGCCCAGGTTCCGCCCAACTCCACCTCTAACATTTTGAATCGTCTGATGGTCAGCTATGACCCAAGAATAAGGCCTAACTTTCAAGGTAATGCAACAAACCATACAGGTAAGTGATGACAAATTCTTTGTAGAAAGATGGTTGCCATACAGGAATCACTAGTATGATTATAGTTGCTCATCAAGAATCATTATTTATGACAATTCAAGGAACCATTAAAATGAAGATTATATCACACATATAAGATGCTACAAGACAATCCCATGGACAATAGTTTGGATGTTAAGGAAGAGTGGGAATTAGAAATGAACACAATAATTTCAGAGGTAAAGTGGGAGCTGTCATGTAGAGAGGGACATAAGATAACAAACAACCCCACTTGGAAGGAATTCGAATGGAAAGTTAAGATGAGATTTTTTAGGACGCCTCTTGTTTCTTCAAAATTCGGGAGCACCTTGAATCATTGCTGGAGGGGCTGTGGCCTGGTTGGAGATCATACACATATATTCTGGGACTGTCCAAAACTATCAGGATATTGGCAAGACATACAAAATGAGATAAAAAAAAATGTTTAAGTGCCATTAGAACCATCTTACTTTCTGTTAGGCATATTGCCAGAAAATCTAGAAAGAAATAATCAGATATTATTACTGAGAATTCTCTTTTTAGTGGCCAAAAAGATGATCACAGTCTCCTGGCTGAAGCCTCAGCCCCCCCACAGTGACACAATGGAGGGAGAGGATTAAGGATGTTTACTACATGGAAAACATTACAGCAAGGTTACAGCTAAAAACAGATGTATTCTTGTCTCAATGGTCCCCAGTTGTTTCTTTTCTTTCCCTCTGACCAGTATGGTCCAAGTGGAAGGGAGAATGATGTTCCCATTTTTCTTCTCATTTAAATGTGAACAATTTTATTTTATCTTTATTTTTTATTTTTTTTTATTGTTCTCTCTCTCTCTCTTCCTCCCATTCCCTCTTGAAATAATGGATATATGGACAATGGATATATGAATAACAGACATATGGACATTGATTGAAGGCCAAAACCCATGGACAGACCCTTAACATTTATGCATTTATGCCTGTACTACTGTAAGTGTCTGAAAAGCTGATTGTACTGTACGCCTGCACTTGATAAAAGGAAATAAAATAAGTTCCAAAAAAAAAGAATCATTTTTATTTTCCATTAAAGGATGGATTCACAGGTTGTTGTTTTTTTAATCTGGGCACCTGAATGTTGTTTTAAAACAGACTTGAAATCATGTTAAACTGCTATTTTAATTTTCAGCAGTTAACTTTTAAAAATACATTTTCTTTCACTGAAAAGGCATTACACCCTAGCAGTGTCCCATGACTCAATTAATTTCTGAAAATGTTGGGTGTCACTGGCTCCTCCTTATGTTGTAGTTCCATTTGCATAATTCCCCTTCGTCCAGATGAAAACAACCAATTAGAGCCAGTGGGAGCCTCTAACTTAATGTCAATCACTACTCGTACACAAGCAGGAATGTCAACCAGAGCTGTTTCCTCTGATTGTCATTTCACGATAAGCTGTCTCCAGTGTGGTTTTTGAGAATTTGACAGTACATCCAACCGACCTCACAACAGCACACCATGGGTAACCACCCCAGCCCAGTCCTTCCAAACTAGCGTCTTCACCTGAGCCACCTGAACAGCTGATGCAACAATTGTTTCACACAACTGAAAAATTTCTGCCCAAACCATCAGAGACCATCCCAGGGAAGCTCATCTATGAGCTAGTCTTTGTCAGCAAGGTCCTGACCTTACTGCAGTTTGTTCTTGTAACTGACTGCTCTCTTTACAGATAAATCCTGGTTTTGGATTTACCAGTCAGATGGCAGAAAGCCTGTATAGCATTGTGTGGACACGCGCTTTGCTAGAAATACAATATACTGTGATGAGATCTTTGGGCTCCATTGTCATCTCATTCATCTGCCACCATGACCTCATATTGCAGCATGGTAATGCACAGTGGAGGGTATACGCAGGTATACGGGGTATATACACCTCTTCTTC